ACTGCTGCGGTGATTTCGGGTATCACCTGGCGGCCTTGGAGGAGCAGGCCACGGTGTGACCTGGATATTCAGCAGGGCCCGCCTCGGGGAGGTGGTTCTGTGCGGTGGTGTGCAGAGCTGTGCTTCCTTCACAGGACGGCCTGAAGCAGTGCCTGTCCGAATTCAAGCAGCAGCTAGCTTGGGTGGAAAGGCTGGATGTGACTTCGGGCCAGGTCGTGGATCCCGTCTCACAGAGTGCTTCTAACAAAGATGCTGTTGACCCCGAGAATGATTTCCAGAGAGAGATGAGCTTGTAAGTGTCAAAACCGGAGATTTCTTGCAGGGTCTCGGCATACTGCTGCGTGCTTGGAGCCATGCAGGTGTGCTGCAGACTGCTGTGCTGGCTGACACCAGTATCATGTCACTCTTGTGCCATGTATTTTACATTTGATGGCTCTGAATGTTTTCCAAAATAACTACAAATTAATGCTAGTATATTTAACTTGTCTTGTGGCTGGAAATAATTTCCCTCCTCGCAGCAGACTTCCATCCTTTGCTGAAAAGTTTATTTAAAAAGTTCCTTGGTTGCAGCACTATGGCTTTAACAGAGGATGTGGATTTTTCATTGTGGATTTGTTTTGGTGTTATTACAGTTCTCTTGTTTTGCCTTGCCTTTTATAATCCAACATATAAAGCTGTAACTGGAAACTAGATAAATGTATATGTGCAAGATATAAGTGTTAATATTGTACTGGCACCTAAATCGCTTTTAGTAGTACTGAATGCTGTAGGGCACAGCGTGTTGATATAATTCTAGATCAATGCTTGTTAGATGTCAGTATCAGCTAGCTTATGTGAGCAGAGTTTCTGTCAGTGCTGTGAGATGCCCAATACCCAGTGACAGAGCTGGTGCTGTGCTGTCTCCCTAGTTACCGGCAGGCTCAGGCAGCAGTCCTGGAAGCCCTACCTAGGTTGCGTAAGCTCCAAGTTCCTACTAGAAGGCCAGATGATTACTTCGCAGAGATGGCCAAATCAGACCAACAGATGCAGAAGGTATGTGCGGTGAATAATGGCGTTCTTTCCTGTGTTATGTGTTGGTGTTAGCCTTTGTTAGGGATTGATTGAGGTGTGATTTGTGAATACTTACCGTCATCTCTTTGACAAATGCTTATGACAATGTTTGTGTTTGAAATTTTGTTTGTGGTAGGAAATTTCTTCCTGTTTAGGTATTTCAGTGCAATGTGGGGATTTCCATAACCAGTTGGAACGTAAAGTAGAAAAGCACGATTTATATTCTGTCCTGAATGTATTTAATGTTATAAATGGAGACTTTTCTCCATATGTATGGTTGTAAAGTTGGCTGTGTTTATGCAATTTGGCCTAAGACTTGCACAGTCAACTGTGGCATTAACGTGATCCTTTTTCCCTATTTAAGTATCACCCTTTGTTTATACTCAGTATGTTTTGGTTCTCTGTGATTTTAAACTGTGTTATTGAATTAATCTATCATGGGTAGTGAGTCAGATTTGTGTAGGAACTAAGAATTTCATGAACTTGCTTCTTGATTGTGGTCTTTGTTCAAAACGGAACCCTAATTTTTGTTTTAGTTTTGGAAAAAAGACTACATTGTATAAGTTAAACAAGCATGAGCTGGAGTCTAATTTGGAGGTTCATGTATGACTTGATCACTGCTTCGATGGCTGATAGAATCTTCCTAGAGAAGATGAAGATTAGTAATTAGCTTGTGCTGAGGTGTAAGTCAATTCTACACGCAACTGTTACCTTCTTTTGCTGGCTTCTGTTTGAAGAACAGAGTTTTTATCTCCTAGTGGAGTCACAGACTGAATCCAGAAGATCTGTGTTGAAATCTTTGTAATCCCTTGTAATGTGGTATCCGTATAGAAATGTTTGTGAACAAGGAGGGAACGAAAAAGATGTTTTCTATGGCATGGAAGGGTTATTGACTCTTCTCCAGTGCTTTACTTTTAATAATGACAAGAAATAAACTATCAAGTCTTTTACATACACCTGAGTAGACTGACAAGATGTGACAAGATATTCTTGTTTAGCTGTTCCATTAGAGCCCATTATAAGTCTTTGTCTTGTCTCTGTGTGAGTTTTGTCTTTTTAACCAGATTTTGGCTACAGATCAGTTCAGGAGTTTCTGTAATAACTGTTCCAGCCTTGAGTTGAAAGAACGTTATACTTTATCTGATCGAGAGATGTTTTCTTTCTTACACTTATTGATAGTTCACATAATTATTGATTTCGGGACTGCACAGCAATCATAAAATTCTCATATTTTCTTCTGCGTTACTGATAAATTTTGTTTTTTCTATCCCCTAATAAGATTCGACAGAAGCTTAAGAGTAAACAGGAAGCAATGGAGAGGTCTGAGAAGGCGAAACAGCTCCGTGCAATGAGAAAATATGGCAAGAAGGTGAGGAGGAGCTACAAAAGGGACCTATCTATGACAAGAATCTAGAGCCTGAGTGAGGAGCTTAGAAAGTGAGACCACAGGAGGCTGGCTAAAATATACGGAATCTGTCTAGTTTTCTGTCCAGCTGCTTTGAAGGAAGACAGAGCAAAAGATGGGATACTTTAAAAAAAAAAGAAAGGAAAAAAAAAAAGAGAAAAAAGTATGGAACAACACTAACATTCTGCTTCTAATCTCAGGTGCAAACTGAGATTCTGCAGAGAAGACAAAAGGAGAAAAAAAATATGTTGAATGCAGTCAAGAAATATCAGAAAGGTAAAGTTAACTTGTCTAAGAGAGCAAATATGTAATAGGAATAGTGACATGTGAGCAGTGTAAGGCAGTATGATGTGTGGTGTCAATCTGTAGTGCTGGGCAGTGAGGTTGAAAGGCTGCTGCTGTGCAGAATCATATGCCAGTGGCAGTGAAAATCCTCCCAAGTAGCTGTTCTTCAGTGAGGGTGACTTGTTGCTATTAGTTGCTTAGACTGAAAATTCATATTGTCTGTGGTAGTAGCTGAGCAACTGTTATCTCTTCGCTCTTGCAGGTCTCTCTGACAAGCTGGATTTTCTAGATGAAGAGCAGACGTCATCTCAGAGCAATAAAAAAGGCAGTGCAAGTCAACGGATAAAGAAGGGGTGAGACCAGAAAAGAAAGATATTTAAATGCAGAATCTCTGGTTTTTTCAGTCTTTTAGGGGATCATTTTGTGGAACAAGAAAGCTGTTCTGATTAATGTTTGTTAAAATAAATCTGAGGTGGCTTTCTGTCCCTAGAGAGGAGGAAAACTGTGGCCAGAATGGAACGGAGACTGAAATGTGCTAATTTCTGACTCTTCTATAAGAGGGGAAAGGTTTATGATGGCTGATGGGGGTCCATCAGCAGATACACGTGCCTTCTTGAGAGCTTCCTGAGGAAAGGAGTATAGGCGATGATGCTGTTCGGTTGTTTTTCAGACCAAATGCCAAAAGACGATACAAGAATCAGAAGTTTGGTTTTGGTGGGAAGAAGAAGGGCTCAAAGTGGAACACAAAGGAGAGTTTTAATGATGTGTCCAGCTTCCGGTCAAAAGTGGCTCACAACAAAGGCCCAGGAAAAGCAGGAAAAGGAGGAAAAAAAGCCCTCAATGTAAGTAAAAATGTTGCATGCAAATGATCCTGGTTGGCTAGGAAGCCAGCCCTGGTCTGGGAGGGAGAGCTGAGTACATGATGGGTGCCTCTAGCGTCTGGAAGTGAAAATGTCTGTCTTTGGGAGCTGAGCATAATTCAGTTGCAGAGAGAGTTGAGGACGGTGGTTCGGTGTCTGCACAGGGAAATGAGTGGGGGAGTTAGCAAGTACTGTTTGTTGCTACCTGTGTCCCAAAACCTCCCTCTCCAGAGGTACTGACAAATACCCTCTCCTTGATATCCTCCCCAAGCTATAGCGCTAGAACAAAGATTGAGGATGTGAAAATAAAGATCTGAATCTGTTCTTTTTTTACAGAAGAGACCTGGAAAGAGAGCAAGGCAGAAAATGAAGAGCCGAGCGCGATAAGAGGACTGTGCTCCCCAGTGGGGTTCCTATGTTTCTGTGTGTTGCAAGATATGTTTCTGCTGTCATCAAGCAGCTAACTGTGGAGCAAGCTGGATGCTTCCAAGTGGCAAGAAAAAAAGTCAGTGGAAACTAGTGCCTTATCACTAATTTCTTCTCACTGTCTGTTTTGTTGAAGGATTGTTTTCTACTTAAACCTTTGGTGTGTGAATGCATTAAATGGTTTGCATAGAAGTATGTCTAATTGATGTTTAGTTGTGTTTTGAATGGTGGCTGAAGCCTGCCCTTTGTTCCCTTTGTTCTGACAGCTTTTTCCACAGCTACTGTTGACATGTGCTTGGTGAACTTGAGTTCTGGGTCATGTTGCCAATGTCAGAATAGGAAGTCTGAAGCCTGTCAAGATGTTAAAGTGTTTTTTAGACTATTCATATAGATGGGTTTGGAAACAGCAGTGGGACAAATGCAGCAATCTTATAAATAGGTTTATTTCTGTAACTATTGTCAGGCTGCGAATCTGGACAGACTGAGGTTCTCTCTTCCCTTTTCTCGCTATCTTCTCCTGCCAGAAATCTACCAGATTCACCTAATAACAAGCAGGGCCTAACACATGAGATGTCATTAACTGCTTCTATTTAAGTTGTGTGGCTTTGCCACTCTACCGCTGCAGACTGCTCCTACCCATGCCCCATGGCAGCCATTTATTTAGTGATCTCAGTTCTCCGGCGTGGGAAGTGGAGTCTGCAGTCAGTACGGTCCGTGTGAATCTGGGAAAGAAAAATGATGAATAGTCATGTGCTTTTACTAGAATTAGTAGAAATAGTCCCTCCTGAGAAGAGTGATGCACAGTGTTACTGCTGCTAAGTGCCCAAATGACAAACGAGTAGGTTACCACTTATTTGAGAATACACTGTTCACTGTTTCATTAATGTACAAAACAGCATCATGAGTCCTGATGATATAAATTTAACTCTCTTCCCTACATGCAAATTTAGTTGCCTCTTTCCTGCCAGCCTAATCCTACCACCAGTATCTAACAGCGTAAAGCCCTGCTGGAATGTCTGTCTCTAGCCTTGTCATGAGTAACTAGTTTACCTGAAGTGTAATATGAAAAGCTGCAGAAGACTATCTTGATTTCTTACTTATCTTAGTTTTCTTTGTAACAGGCCAAAATTAATCAGGCCCTCATTTGCTTTTCTCGAAACACTAATCTACAAAGTCAGTCATCGTCACAGCTTGTTAATAAGATTGTTTGTCAGATACGATTGATGTCTCAGCTTGTTAATAAGGTTTCTTTTCCTCCTGTTTATTCGCGCTTCCCCAAATGAATCCTCACTGGTGTATTCTGCCTTGGATTTATTTAGCTGATTATTAATTTTATGGTTCTGCTTGAAATTTGCTTGAAAGGTACTGTACAGCAGCACATTTCTTTTCACAATACTTATGTATGTCACTTCACATTGCTCACTACACCATTTCTCATGGCCGAATGCTTTAATAAACAGCCGTGACTACATATGTGGCATTTGGCAATATGCTTGGGGTCGACTGTCATTGTAGATACTTTGTATACAAGTTTCTCAGAGGAAGTCTATTGTTTCTGTGTTCACAAGCCTATGCCAGTGTGAAGAATCCTTTTAGTTGTAAATTTTAAAAACTTGTTGTCCACGAACAACTCTGCTCATTCCTAGTCATTCCTCTTTTCCATGTTTGTCACAAATTATTTTCTTGCAGGAATATCTTTCAGTGTGATGTGCTGAACAACTTCTCTGAATCCTGCAAAGAGCTGAGTCCTTAAGCACCCTACTCACCAAAGGTGTTGTGTTCCAGCCAATTTCCTGGCTTTCAGTTTGTGGCTCTGAATATTTCTTTGTTGGCTCCAGTGCTGCATGGTGAATAAGGTTCAGAAACTTGGCTGTTGGTTTAAGAGACACAAATACAGATGAAAGAAAGTATGTTTAAAAACCAGTCACCTGTGGATGTGTGTTAGAATGGGACATCCTAACACTGTCCAAGCCATAGCAAGAAAGCGAAGGTTGGAGGCAACCTCTGTGCTTCTGTGAATGATCTTGTAAGAGAATGCAGGGTGACATTTCTACTCAAATTTATCCTGATGAGGTTTCAAGATTTGCCTGCCTACACTGTCCTGTTAGTTCTGTCATCCCTGTCTGCTGTATTGCAGCATCTTACTTTTCTTATACCACGTCTAGTATCAACCAGCACTCCACATTAGCTATCGTCTTTCTCAGTTGCCTGAGACCTTCTCCCTTTCCCTGTTTTGGTTTTCTTTTCCACCCTAATCCTTTACTAGAGCAGGGCAACCTTAACTGACATTAAGGTTTTTAGACAAAATTGGCATATTAGAAATAAGGGAGCAGTTGCTATATGTGTTCCTGTTATTAGTGCTCTAAAGCAAGATTCAGCAGCCATTTCAGCAGTTTACCATATGCGGTGGTTAGGTAGAATCTGCAATGACAAGCAACATGTGTGTATAAAACACGTTTCTAGATTTTTTCGCTTTCCCCTGAAAGAGGTTTAGATTCTCAAGCAGAATTTTATAGTATGATAACTAAAAACAAAAATAAAAGCATAATTGCATGAATGCAAGCTTGTACTGATAATGAAAAGTAATGGAAAAGGGATGCAAAGTGGAAAAAACCCTGCCTTACGTTTAATAACAATCATGAATGAGTTTAACTTTCTTCTATTGTCACAGGGGTGTTTCCACGTATGTCATCTTTTAGACTAATTGGAATTTTTCAATCTTACTTATTAGTCATTTTCGTACATAATTAGCACAAGCTGTTGGGAGATTTCTTACCATCTGCTGGCTCTTCTATATTATCATGCCAAGACATAGGCTTCTTGGTGATCGTGTGAACTGGAAAGAAATGATGCAGGTGAATTACTTTAATGTGAATTTAGCATCACAGCCAGGTGTAGGATATCCTTCATTGCAAATGTTCCTTTTGATTATTCCCCAGTCTGGGCCCAGCTGCTTCACTGAAGTTGTAAAGAGAGAACGGCATATGAACAGAACAAAATGAGTTAGAGTACTGACTAACAGCAACTTCCTAGAAAGGGATGAGGGTTAAGCATGCTAAAGGCCCTTCTACTGGATGCTGCCTGCATTCACCACAGCAAAGTTCCACCCCACTCATGTGATGGCCTGCAGAGTGCCAAATTTCAAGAAATTATTTTCCTTTGGTTTGTTTTTGTTTTATTGTAAAAGGTAGACCTGAGTGAATGTATTCACATCACCCGTCCGTGCCAGCACGGATTATGATATTCTATGACTGTGAACTGGCAGGTAAAAATCAGCCCAGGGGCTGAAGAAACACAGTGTAGTGTTGGGGCTTTCTACCCCATCTTAGCTCTATGTTTTTTGCTCAAGATCCTTGAGTTCGAGATCCTAAATGGTTGCCTCACTTCTAAATATTTACTAAGGCACTGTCTAATCTGGGCAAATTGGTCATGTCTCCATTCTGTCTTTGGGTGTGCAGACTGGTTCCTTAGGCAAAAGAATAGGCAAAAGAAAGGCCCCCCATTTGCTCCTTCCAGAGCTACCCCTCTCACTGGCCACTGCTGGCATTCTTGGGTGCAGCTGCTTGTCTCTGACGTGAGCTGAGTGCTCGGGGGCCTGCTCCTGCCCCTGCCCCGGCCTCCGCCTCATGC